GTAAGCTAGCCTTTATATATAGAAGTATTGAAATACAAAACAATTGACAATAGTTTAATTTGACAAACAAATTTTAGAATTGATATTTATTTTATAAAATATATAAAAACATACACAAACTTTCTTCACTTTGTTATTTGTACAATTAAATAAATATATAAAATTCATTATATAATTTATTAAATGTGAGATTGTTTTGTAAAAACTAAGAATTTAATTTGATATTTTTGATGAATATATATATATTTGATAATTTTTCAAAGTGAATGCGGGTCAACTGACCGTCCTTGGCCGCCCACAACCCCCCCGGGCCACGCATGCATGAGTGCTGCCCAAGGTTTGGTGAATTATAGTCTATAGACAAGGAAAAAACAAGAGAAATACAAACACAAAACAAGATAGGAAGCAAGTAAGAGAATTTATTATATCTATTAATAAATTCTTATCGTAAACATTTTTTTTTTTTGTGAATAAAAATAAAAAATCCATTATTGGCATTTACTTCCAGTTTTCCATTACTCAACTCTCTCAAAAACACCATCAAACATTTACTGAATGGTCTATCCTTGTGCAAACATATTGAATATCATTTCACTAGCCTTTGATAAGTCTAATAGGTTAGAATTACAGTTTCACCCTCTTGTGACTTAGCCAGTCGCAAGACCCTAAATGCGGCATGTCTAAGTTGAATGTCAAAGGGTTAACGCCAGTGGAACCCCCATTGGCCCCTTTGATTTTTGTTTTTGTTTGCAAGAAAATAAATGTTGCTTTACATTGGTGATAAGGCACATAGGATTGGAGTGTCACGCGTGAAAAGACCATAGGCTAAGCCTGCAAGTTTTCAATGTCAACTGTTTGGTTCTAGAAAGAGTGCAGGTAATTTGGTGGTGGTGTGTAACCTTATAACAAGTAACGGCGTAAGAAAAACATGAGTCGGAGAGAAGAAAAAGAGTGGGGGTGCAAACCTTTTATAGAAGAAAGAAACAAATCGTTCACTCATTTGTGACTTTTATGATAGTCAGATGAACTTTTAATTCCAAAAAACAACCAATAATTGCTTACCAACAAGAGAAGAAGTTTCAAAGGAATTTTGGTTATTAAAGTAAAGGATTTATTTTATTTTCCTGTTATGAGATGGTTTAGAATTAAATTTATCTGCTTCGAGAAGATAGTATAAAAAAATCCTTCTGTTTTGATATTTTTGTAAGAGAGTATTTCCTAATTATTGGTTATAGTATCGTCGATTAAGTCTGTTACATTGTTTGTATTAGTTGATTCCAGCTGTATAACAACAGTTAGATTCGTTGGTAACTGTGATTAGTAGAAGATTGATTAACATCTTGTTATATGGGTTGTAATAGTGCGAAAATTCAGTAATGAAAAAGAAGAATACATTCCAAGAATCCTTTGTTCTTCATTTTATTTCATGGTATCAAAGCAAAGTGACGAAGCCAACTCTTGTCCTCTCAATCAACCCACTCTTTCTCCTCTTCACTTTCCTCCTTGCTGACCTCATCGTCTTCTGAATTTCTACCCAAGTTCTTCCTCAATGGAGAAATTATTGGTTTCCTTAATAAACTAGAACCGAGCGATTCTTGGCTCCCAATTTTATCTCCATCGGATTTTCTGAAATTTTATTCAATCAATCATTTGTTTCTTAAAACACCATTGTTGAAATAAAGATTTCATTTGAAGATCAGAATGAGTAATGGCAAGTGTTAATGGAGAATTAAATGTAGCAACGATAGATTCAAATTCACAACTTTATATACATCCATCAGATACTCCAAGTATGATGTTAGTCTCAGAACAGCTTCTTGGGATTGAAAATTAAGGAATTTGGAGTAGAGCTATGATAGTGTCTTTGCGTGCCAAGAATAAACTAGGGTTTGTGGATGGAACTTGTAAAAAATTGAGTTTGCTGCTTCTTTACATGCACAATGGGAAAGGTGTAATTCTCTGGTGTTGGCTTGGATCTTCAATACAGTATCCAAAGAGATTTTTAGTGGAATTGTTTATTCTATGAATGCATCTCAAGTCAGGCAAGACCTTCAGGAGTAGTATCATAAGGTGAATGGTATAAGGGTTTTTGGAATCCATAGAGAAATAGTTAATTTGGTACAAGGAACAGATTCTGTGGCCGTTTATTTTAACAAATTAAAGGCATTATGAGATGAGCTAAATGCTTTGGTAAGCTTACCTCCACCTGACAGTGCTTCAGCAAAGGTTTACCTTGAGATTTTGAATAAGCAAAAATTATTGCAATTTCTAATGGGGCTTAATGAATGTTGCTCGATGGTGCGTAGTCAAATATTATTGATGTCACCTCTGCCGTCGGTGAAACAATCTTATTTAATTGTACAACAGGATGAAAGCCAAAAAATGCTTGTTGGAATCAATATCAATTCAGAGGTATCGACTGCACTTTACTCACAAAATAATAAAAAATCGTGGAATCATAATCCAAAATATAAAGGCAAGAAGCCATATATAGAATGCGAGCATTGTCATCTTCATGGTCACAAGAAGGATACTTGCTATAAGATTCATGACTATCCTGCTGATTTTCAATTCACAAAAGGCAAGAATGGATCTAAAGCTAGGACTAATCAAGTGCAAGCTACTTAATCGACCATTAATGATTCAAAAGCTGGAACTAATCTTGGACCAGTACTCACACCAAAGCAGTATAATCATATTCTTTAGTTACTTGGAAAAGGAAAATGTCTCAACACCAATGGCTAACCTTGCAGGCAACTTGGTTTCTTTGTATTCATGTCATACTGCAAGTGATTGGATCATAGATTTAGGAACTACGAACCATATGACTTATGACTATCTAAGTTTAGAATCTCCTACTAGCATAGGAATGTAACGGCCACATGGAGGTACATAATTTAATTTATGCTCTTATACCTTTAGTTGATTTTTTGTTAAAGTTATTTTGAGAAAATGTGGAGAAAATGCTTTAAACTTGCATTAAGGGTAAAATGGTCTTTTCACTCAAAATTAGTTGAAATTGTGGGGAGATATTTGTAAATAAGCTCACCTTAGCGGGACCATCAACAACAGTACCGAGTGACCCATCTCCTGCTCCATAGAGAGAAAGAAGTGATGTTTCAAGAAACAGGGAAGTGAGGAACAATAAGAGATTTCAACCTAAGAAGAATAGAAGAGACTGGCAGAGTAAACGGCCCAGACCTACTGAGTTTTCCCCATGTCCAAAGTGTGGGAGAATGCATCCAGGGGAGTTTTTAAGGGAGTTAGGCCGAAATGTATGCTATAGGTGTCGACAGCCAGGGCACTTGATGAAAGATTGTAAAGCCCCTCTTGCACCCGCACCCGTAGCACAGACTTCTAGAGGTACAAATGCTAGGGTTTTTCCTATGACACATAGTGAAGCAGAAGCCAGTCCATAGTGCTCACCCCATTGTTTCCAATGTTTTTACAAGTAACAGATGAAATGCGGTCATTTGGAACAGTCACACAGCGGAAGGGTTGGGCAAAACTGTCAAGTTAATATTTTGAGACTTTATTATATTATGTAAAGTTCTGTGTATAAAGAAAATTAAATATGGGCCCATATTTTTATACTCGTTTATATATTTTCTTATATATATTTAATGAGTTTTTACTGTTATTTTATGAGTATACTAGCTAGAGAGAGAGTCATTACAAGGAACATCACAAAATTCTTTAGTAGGACTTCCAAATGGTACTAGACTCCATATATATCGTACTGCAACTGTCAATTTGAATGAAGAGATTTCTTTAGATAATGTGTTTCATTTACCAGATTTCAAATACAGTTTGCTTTTGGTATCAAAATTGACCACTTCAAATAATTGTTCAGTTACATTCTATCCTGATTTTTGTTTGATTTAGGACCTTTGGTGTGGCAAGTTGAAGGGGATTGGTAAACATAAGAAAGGGTTAAATTATTTCACACCAATTTCAAAAATTAAAGACAATGTAATCAATTTACAGTCATCGCATGATATTGTTTCTAAAACATCATGTTGTATCCCCAATGTATCTTCTGGTTTACAAAATAATAAAGAGTGTGTTTCTTTATCGTCCTCTGCATCTTCTTTGAATGTTGATTCAGAAACTTGACATCACAGATTAAGGCATACTCCATATCATGTTTTAAAGTCAATGCATCTTGATCTGCCTTCTTCACATACACCGCATTGCACTATATGCCCACTTGCAAAGCATACTAGAATTCCTTTCTCATTAAGTCAATCAACCACAACTAATATATTTGACTTGTTGCACATGGATGTATGGGGTCCATACAAGATCCCTACCCATGGGAATGCTAGGTACTTGTTAACAATAGTAGATGACCACTCTAGGATTACTTGGGCTTTCCTTATGTAATTTAAGTCTGATGTCTTTCAAATTTTCAAACAGTTTTTATCAATGGTCCAAAATCAGTTCACCAAAACTCCAAAATGCATCAGGACTGATAATGAGTTAGAATTGTTTAATAAAAACTGTTTTGAACTACTACAGGCCAAAGGCATAGAACATCAAAGTTCTTGTGCATATTCACCACAGCAAGATGGTATTATAGAGAGAAAGCACATGCATATTTTAGAAGTAGCCAGGGCATTGAAATTTCAATCACATTTGCCACATGATTTTTGGGGATATTGCATTAAAATAACAATTTATATCATTAATAGATTACCTACTAGGGTTCTTCATTGACAATCACCATATGAAAAGTTCTATAATAAGAAATCTAATCTTGGAAATTTGAAGGTGTTTGGTTCCCTGGCTTATGTGACAACCTTATCTCCTAAAGACAAGTTTTCTCCAAGGTCTACACGATGTGTTTTTCTAGGTTACTCACTTACACAAAAGGGCTATTACTTGTATGACTTACAAACCCATTCTATTCAAGTTAGTTGAGATGTGATTTTTTATGAGAAATTTTTTCCTTTGCTTGGTCCAAATCAACAAAGCCTATGTTTTTAATAGACTCATTCATGGATTTAGATACTACTTCTTCTATTGTACCTATTCAAAATCATATTGTATTATCTAGAGATGCCTCTTCCATGCAGATACCAGAACTAGTTATTGAACCTGTCCTAGACACTTCTTTACCAGTTTTATCACATTCAAATCTACCTACCTTTACACAAGGTATTCTTGTCACAAATCAGACACATCCAGCCTTTACAATTAGAAAGTCCACTAGGGTGTCTAAACCTCCTATTTGGACAACTGATTTTGTTTGTCCAACACTATCTAAACCAGACATGGTAGCTACTGTCCAATATCCTATACATTCCTCTTAATCTTATTTACACTTACCATCGACTTATCAAGCATACTTATAAAAAATTTTCAATCTCACTGAACCATCTACTTTTGCCCAAGCCTCCAAAGACCCTAATTGGATAGATGCTATGCAAAAGGAGATTCAAGCATTAGAGCATAATGTCATTTGGTCATTAGTTCCTTTACCCTTAGTAAAACTCTCATAGGATGCAAGTGGGTGTATAAGTTGAAATACAAATCTGATGGTACATTGGACATGTATAAGACTAGGTTAGTGGCTAAGGGGTATACTCAACAAGCAGGGGTAGATTATGATGAGACTTTTTCTCCAGTAGTTAAGATGGTTACTGTTTTGTTAATACTAACTTTAGAATCCATGTATAATTGGCCTTTGTTTCAAATAGATGTGGATAATGCTTTCTTGCAAGAAACTTACAGGAGGAGATTTATATGATAGTGCCACAAGGTTTTACCCAACTAGGTAAGCACAATTTGGTTTGTAGGCTTCACAAGTCACTTTATGGTTTAAAGCAAGCCTATAGGGCTTGGAATCATAAGCTTACATTTGCCTTAGTTACTGGTGGGTATATTCAATCCCAATCTGATAATTCTTTATTAAGAAGGACAAATACAAGATTGTTATTTTGCTTGTGTATGTGGATGATATTGTCATAACTGGCAAATGATCATTCCCTCACTGCTGCAACAAAATCCCTTCTACATACTCATTTTAAGATCAAAGATCTAGGGACTTTAAGGTACTTCTTAGGTTTTGAAGTGGCCAAGTCAAACAAAGGTATCACTCTCTGTCAAAAAAGTATGCACTTAAGTTCATTGCTTCTTCAGGATTGTCTAGATCCAAGCCTACCGTTGTACCTTTAGATCAGAATGTGAAGTTCACTTCCATGCAATATGACAAGCTCTTTAACATCACTACTGATTCTCCACTGCCTGATCCTCATCTTTATCAAAGATTGGTGGGCCAACTTCTATATCTATTTCAAACTAGGCCAAATATTAGCTATTCAGTCAATTTGCTTAGCCAGTTCATGCACTCCCCTACAGATTCCCATATGGCAGCAGCTTTGACAATAGTTCGATATCTTAAACAAGCTCTTGGTCTTGGTTTGTACTTTCCATCTCATAATTCTTTAAATTTGGTGGCCTACAGTGATTCTAATTGGGCGTCTTATGACCAAGAAGTCCATCATTGAGTATTATGTTATGCTTGACAATTCTTTATTATCCTGGAAATCTAAAAGGCAAGCAACAGTGTCTAAATCTTCTTATGAGGCTAAGTATAGGGCAATGGCATCTATTGTTTGTGAAGTAACTTGGATAGTGCAGCTTCTCTCTAAACTTGATTTTTACAATTTGGCTCCAATCACTTTATTTTGTGATGATAAATTAGCTCTTCATATTGCTTCTAACCCCATGTTCCATGAGAGGACAGAACACATTGATATTGATTGCCATATTGTTCGCAATAGTGTTAAGAGTGGCCTAATCACTACAGCTCATTTTTCCACTCAAGAACAGCGTGCTGACATTTTTACTAAAACTCTTAGTAGTCGAGTTCATTTTTATCTTCTTCACAAGTTGGGGTTTTTAGACATCTTTCATCCTCTAACTTGAGGGGGGTATTGGTTATAGTATTGTTGGTTAAGTCTATTACATTGTTTGTATTAGTTGATGCCAACTGTGTAACTATGGTTAGGTTAGTTGGTAGCTGTGATTAGTAGAAGATTGATTAGCATCTTGTTATATGGGTTGTAATAGTGTGAAAATTTAGGGCCCCTTTGGTACACAATTTTTCACTACTTTATTCCCTGTTCTATCCAAAATACACATTTATTTGCTTATTCTCAAAATATTATTCTATATTATTCAATTCTTTTTAAACCCCCTAGATTTTTTAATTTAACTAAACACCCTTCCAATTTTTTTTTTTTAGAAATTGACAAAAACACCCCAGTAACCCACATTTGCCAGATTTCGGCCACCACTATTGGAATCTAGTATAATGGTGCACCACCAACTGGATCTGGTCGGTAGTGCACCGATCTAGCCTTTTTCGGCTAGATCCACTGTGGATCTAGTTGAAAAATGCCAGATCTATGGTCAAAGATTTGGTTGTTGACGGCCATATCTTTGGCTGTAGCTAGTCATCAACGATGGCCAAGATATGGTCGTCGTTGACCATCAACAACAGTCATATCTTTGGTCATCGTTGACGACCAAATGTGGCCAAATCTGGCCATCAATGGCCAGATCTAACTATAGATCTAGCCTTTTCTGGCCTAATCTACCGTGAATCTGGTTGGAAAGATCTAGCCTTTTCTGGCCTAATCCACCGTGAATCTGGTTGGAAAAGGCTATATTGGTGCTCGACTTGCCAGATCCAGTTGGTCGTGTGCCAATACGGCGATTTTGACCACTTTCCGGTGGTGGTGGCTGGCTGTCGGTATTTAATGGGTGAGTGGGGGTATTTTTGTTAATTTTTAAAATTTTATTATAAGGGTGTTTAGTAAATAAACAAACATAAGAGGTATTTTTATTAATTTTCAAATCTTACATCATAATAACCACCCAATTTTACTTTTTTTTTTTTAAATATTATTCTAAAAAGTATCAAAATAATGAACCAATGGCACCTTGATAATGAAAAAGAAGAATACATTCCAAGAATCCTCTGTTCATTTTATTTCACTAATAAATTAACAAAAGATATTTAATGCAAAGAAAATGTATTTAATTCTAAGATAGGGGAAAATGAAATCAATCTCGTCTCCCTTAAACTCCAGGAGGCTCGACTCCTTTTCCACTCAAAATGCTATCAATACTCCATCATCCTCCATGCACTCTCTCTCGTTTCTTACGTCCCAACACTAAACCCCCCTCTTTTTATACAAAACCCATTCTCTCTTCGTCACACTCCATTCTCCAACAGCAACTGCCCTCCTCCACGTCACCACTGGAATCCCAAATCCTCTCCATTGGCCACTCCCTTGTCTCTCACCACATCACCACCACCCAGCTGGTCGAGTCCTACTTGACTCGTCTTAAGCTCATTGAGCCTCAACTACATTCCTTCATTCACATCTCTAACATGTGTTGAAAGAAGCACAAGTTATTGATGAAAAGATTCGGAGAAATGAAAACGTGGGACCCCTCGCTGGGGTTCTTGTTGGAGTCAAAGATAATATTTGTATGGTGGATATTGTTAGGGCCAAAAATCGTCTTGGGCTTGACGAGGCCCAATTACAAAATAAACATGTCACGGCCCAAGGCCTCAACACAATCCTGATTGGGCCTACGCTTAAAATCACCTTGTGAACTATCCACTCTATGAGTGAGGCTATCTTATAAGTTAAGCTAAACTGGGTTTCAGCCCATTAGCCTGCAACAGTCTATAAATAGGAAATCAGAATCCCATTCTATTTGCTCTTCTACTAAGATTTCAAATCTTACTCAAACTATCAAACTAGATTTGATAAAGTCAAGAAATCATATCTCTTTCATGATAGGGATTATCTCCTAAAATAGGACTTAATGTCCTACTAAGATTCCAAATCTTATTTAAACTATTAAACTTGATCTGATAAGGTCAATAAATTATATCTCTTTCATGATAGGGATTATCTCCCAAAATAGGACTTAGTATCCTACTAAGATTCTAAATCTTATTTAAACTATTAAACTTAAGTCAAGAAATCATATTTCTTTCTTGATAGGGATTATCTCCCAAAATTGGACTCAATCTCCTACTAGGATTCCAAGCCCTTGGGTTCACTATAAAAACAGAGGTTTGCCCTCTCATTAGGCAGACAATCTCCCATAGTCAATCTACACTACTCAAAATCATCTATTTGCTCTTAAGTTCTTGCTCCCAAGGACTTGACGCCTCCGCCGTAGTCTTAGCCTCTGACAAGACTCTTGGTAATTCTTCATCTCCTTAATTCTTATCAAATAATCTCTTTCAGCCTCGTTGACTTGAGCATCAGAGTGCCGGGAAACACCACCTCGGTGTTTTTCGGAAGCTTCACGCTTGCCCTTTCATGTGTGCAGGTCTAGCGGATTGTCAGTGACCTCAACCTCACGGGATCAGACCCTATTTTTATAAAGGTAGATTTTTTGTATCTACAGATATCCCCTCCACTGTTGGGTCTAAGGTTTTGAAGAATTATTGTCCTCCGTTCAATGCCACTGCCGTTCAGAGAGTCAAGGAATTGAGTGGGATTGTTCTGGGTAAGACCAATTTGGATGAGTTTGGGATGGGCAGCACCGCTGAAGCTTCTGCTTTTCAGGTCTTCTTCTTAATAATTAATTAATACTTGAAGCTAGAGTTGTTAAAGTTTCTGTTTTTAAAGTTAGTTTTGTTAAAACCGCTTGAAGTTCTGTTCGGTTAATGTGCTTCTGTCAAATTGTTCAGAAGGTTTCACGTTAGGGTGTTTGAATATGGAAAGACGGCTCTTCTTGAGCTTGGTTTGAGTAGTTCAAAACTAAAAACTTTACTCTTAATACACAATTCAAAAAGTATGTGTTTTTAAGGTTATTTTTGTTAAGACTGCTTGAAAGTCCTATTTGATTAATGTGTCTGTCAAATGGGTGAGAATGTTTCGCATTAGCGTGTTTGAATATGGAAAGACTGCCCTTCTTGAGCTTGGTTTGAGTATTTGAAAACTTATAACTTTCCTCTTAAGACACAAATTCAAGATGATTCTGATGTTTACAACTGGTAACTGGAGTTGGTATACTCAGGTGATGCATGTGTTGATTCGTTAGGTGACAGCGAATCCTTGGGATGCTTCTTGGGTTCTGGAGGATCATCAGGAGGCTCTGCAGCAACTGTTTCTGCTAGGCAGTGTGTAGTATCTCTGGGAAGTGACACCGGTGGAAATGTAAGACAGCCAGCTTCATTTTGTGGTGTTGTTGGATTAAAGCCAACATATGGCCTTGTCTCAAGATTCGGACTTATGGCATATGCATCATCACACGATGTCATTGGTTGCTTTGGTTCATCTGTTGCTGATGCTGGAATTCTTCTTAATGCAATTTCTGGTCATGATAGACTTGATGTCACTAGTAGCAAGCAAGGATGTGTCCCTAACATCTTCTCCTTTTTCTTCTTCATTCTTCTGAGTATGTTTGTGGGTACAGATACATCTAAATGGGTCAATAAGTACTCTTGTTAGTGCTTCTCCCTGGAGCAACTGTTATGTAATCTTATAATCAATAGGTACTAGTTTTTTTCCTGAAAAATGATGTCAAGAAATTTGCATGTAAGAAAAAACTTTATATGCTGAGGGAAAATTGAGAGGGAACAGGGTGGGCATGTGGGTTATAAAGGGCTTGGGTACCCTTTCTTGGCAAGCCAATTTTCCAAGGAGAGTTGTACTCAAGCCCATGAAAGGCCTATGGCTCAACCAAATTGTTGAGTTGTTGAGTGGGTTCCTATCAGAAAGACACATGTTCTCTTCCCATATTGTATTCATCTCTGAATAGTTAAGATTAATATGCTTATGTTGGTTGAAGAGTCACCATTGCTGTTGAGCATTATAACCGGCAGTATTTTGTCATGTCATAGATCATCTGGCCATTCTGATTGTTGAAAACACAATATTTTGAAATTAGGTTCTAGCATTGTGAGCTTTTGGATTGTGCTACTGAGTTGTTTAGAACTTTTTTCTCCAGTGTTACATTTTAATTTTGTGATAATATTACTTTTCAGGAAGTGTCACTGATTTCACAACTCAATTTGTTTTTGATGCTCATTTGGAATCCAAACCATTGAAAGGGCTGAGGGTTGGTCTCATTCGTGAAACTCTTGATAATGGTGTTGATACTGGAGTAAAATCTGCAATTCTTGGTGCTGTTTCCCATTTAGAAGAATTAGGATGTACTTCGTCGGAGGTGCCTTTGATATTTTTTCACACTTGTTTACATTGAAGTTTATGCAAATTATTTTATGATTTTTGTTATTCTTTATTTTGACTGACATTGTAGGTATTATTGCCATCCTTCTCCTTCGGCTTACCAGCCTACTATATTCTAGCTTCATCTGAATCTTCTTCCAACCTATCGCGTTATGATGGTGTCAGGTAAATTATGGAAAAAATACATCTCATTAACAACCATTCTTTTTGTTTTTTGTTTCACACGTTGTCAATAAATTATTAGACTGAAGTTTTTGTACATATCTCTACTAATTTTACTTCCATTTGTAAATCTATGGGATGGAGAAGAAAAATCCTTTGGTGGCAAATTTTGAAGTCCAAAAGCAAGCATATATTAAGAATTGGGTTTTAGTTGAAAGATGGAGCATTAAAAACTTGAAATAAACTATTGTGGCTGCCGGTGTAGTCTAATTTACCAAAGGAAATGAGAAAGCATGTTTCCAACTCAGTCATATATAATAATTAGATTATTCTGAGTTCCTGCCTTGTTTGTTACGTCAATATCCAGGCATCAAAACCAAGCTGTTGCCGATGACCTAAACTCACTATTTGGAGATTCCCGTGCTAAAGGATTCGGCTCTGAGGTATGCATATCTCAAGTGGATACAAGATCCTATTTTCCCATATTTGTTTAAATTTGTTAATCTTTTTAACTGGATAGGGCTACGTGTCATTGGTTCAATCGTAGATGTGTTGAGAGAGCTAGCTGCTAAGCAACCTAAAGGAAAAGTGTAACAATGATTTCTACCAGTGAGGAGTGTTAAATTAAAACGTGCTTTAAACTTTTGCAGGTTAAAATGAGAATATTGATAGGAACATATGCCCTTTCAGCTGGATATTATGATGCATATTACAAGCGTGCTCGGCAGGTACTATAATCATCCTTCGTGTGTGGTCACGAGTAGTTTCAGTTCCAAGAAATTTATTATGGATTACCAAAAGTTTTTTTTTCTTATTATCATTTTTAAGTGACAAATGTGTAGAAATCATAGGAATTAGAAGTTAGCTGATGCTCTCCCTAATCTTTCATTGTTACAGTCTCTCTGCCTGTGTAAATTTAATCTGCTTGACCACAGTTGAATCTATAGTGGTGAGATGTATAAGATTACGCCTAATTATTCGTTACCTGGTCGCTATGTTCTAAGACTCATGATCTTTGAAGAACTATGCTTTGCTGTTGAAGAATTTTTTTTTTTTGATTTTAATAGTGTTTTAGGTGAGGACCATAATTCAGAAAAGCTTCAAGGCAGCTTTGGATGAAAACGACATTGTAATTTCTCCTGAAGCTCCATCCGCTGCTTATAAGATTGGTATTCGATTGTCTCTTTCCTTCCTCCGCCACGAACCCCCCGCCCTTTCCTCCCTTTTGTCTTTTGCTTAAAATGTTTGGTTTTTATTTTAGACTGAAGTTTCGTTATTACTTGTGATGTTTACAGGTGAGAAAAAAAATGATCCACTGGCAATGTATGCAGGGAAATTATGGCTGTAAGAATTTTTTTGTTGCTCTATGATCTGCCATATTTAGGTCCTGTTTGCTACCCACTATAAATATTTTTATAAATAGATTTCTATCCAGATTTTACTTTCCTATAATCAATGCTGATACCATGGATTAATTTTGGAGGAAACTTTTTAATATTTCTGAATGACCCCTCTTGTAAAATCTCCGTTTCTGTTCTCTTTATAGTATCACATCTTATTTAGTGACTTTTAAGATTTAAAATTGTTTAAAGACGGATCATGGTTCAATTTGTTGAATATATTTCACTCCTTATTTCGCTGTTTACCTTCATGGCATGTGTGATTTTCTTTTCTTTTCTTTTCATCTCTTTGTTTTTATTTAGAAATCCAAATATTACCTGGTTTCAATTTTGTTTTGTCTCATTTTGGATTATATGCTCAATACAGGTAAACGTTAACTTGGCAGGGCTACCTGCATTGGTTTTGCCATGTGGGTTTGTAGATGGTGGACCTGTTGGTCTCCAAATGATTGGTGCATCATTTGATGAGGTACACTCTAATGATATTCATGACAATTCATTTTTTCATTTTGATAAGTCGAGTCCACTGCAAATTGCAACTTCTGTTGTCTAGAATAGCTGCACCCTTTCGCTTTTGTTCAGAATAGTTTTTGCGAGGTTTAGGGTGCTTCTCAATGTACGTAAAAAGTTTTAACCCGGTAATTTGTGTAGCTCTGCATAACCTTAGCTAATTACAGTGTTTCTTTCTTATAACTGAGTAATGTTACATATATACAAATTATGTATAAAAGCTCTTATTTGCAAACTGATTACTATTTTATACGATTTGATTTTTCATAAGCTGTGCATAGCCGAGGCCGTGTTGTGGGCACTTGGTGTGTGGGAGCAAAAAATGTGCAGGAGTCCCCGCATAGTTATGTGGAGAGCTTGGGCAAATTTATATAACTTAAGGTGTTCCTTTTAACTTGTTAGAAGCATTGTGGGTTGAAAACCCCATGAAGACTGTGTTTAAAGCGGATAATATCTCGGGTTATTAGAAATTTTTTTATATTTATTTTGTATACAAAAGTTTGTAAAAAAAATAAAAATAGATTGTGTAGTATTAATTATGAGTTATCAAAGCAGTTAGTGAAAGGATTATGAAACTAAGAAAAATGCTACGGACACCGACGTTTGGCACCGAATTTTTACATCGAACAACGTGTCTACTAAATTAGATGAGCCACGTAGCATGTTAACAAATATTCTGCGAATGAACGGCCGTCCATCAAATATGGACGACCATCCATTGTTATTGGACGGCCCTTCATTTTAAATGGACTCCTGTCCATATTATATGGACGGTCATCCACCTATAATAGACGCCCATCCATAATTTAAACTAAATTTTTTTTAAAAACAAACGTCCCTACTGAATGGATGGATGTCCTTATTAGATGAATGTCCGTCCATTGTTTAAATTAAATAAAAAAAAAATATTGGACGGGCATCCTCTTAGATGGACGCTCGTCCATTTCTCTATTTAATAGCACTTGTTTCTTTACTTTATTTTCATGGCATCTGGTTCTTCATTTTTTTTTTTTTCATGGAAGTATTCCCAAACCTGTAAAGAGTCATTTACAGGATTCATTCTTGAAGAAGACTCTTTCAACAACTAAAGATGCTCTAACATTTTCAACAAACAACACTCAAATTCAAGCCTGCTTTTCCAGCTTACACAACTTTGATTGGTGCTCTTTCTGTAGTTCATGCTTGTAGACGTTTTGCGAAGAAAAATGCTATTATTTAGTATGGATGGGCATCCAAGTCAAAGAAGTTGAGGGAGGCTTCTTTAAGTATGGACGAGCGTCCATTTTATGTGGACTCCCGTCCATAGTAAATGGACTCTCGTCCATATAAGATGGACAGACGTCCATTATTTTTCTTTTAAAATTTTTTGGATAGGCATCTGTAGTAAATGGACACCCGTTCATACAATAAGAACGGGAGTCCATTAAATATGGGCGGGCATTCATAAATATTGGACGACCATTCATTCATGAAAAACTCCAGTGTGGTCGTCACTGATTGGTTACTGTGTCCTTTGGTACAAAAATTCGGTGTAAAATTTCAGTGTCTGTAGCATTACTCATGAAACCAATGATACCTTGATTCTATTTGAATGTATACAGGGAAACTGTTGAAAGTAGGTCAGATATTTGAGCAGACTCTTCAAGGTTGCAGACTTGTTCCTCCACTGATAGTAGAATCAAATGGATTTGCACGATAGCTCTATCAAATGAGTAGAGTTTTAAATATTTTTCAAATTACACATTTCATTTGGAAATGACTCTAAAAATAAAATTTCGAATTTTTTTTTGAAATATATATATATATANTTCACCTGATAAATTATGGCTAATCAATTGCGAGTTACCACATTGAAGTTGTGAAAAAAAAATTATAAGAAGAGTTTATAGGTGTAACGTTACTCAATAACTTAACCGGTAAAGTGTTTTATGAAATTGTCCAACCAATGTTATATGAGATATTATTCACATTCTGAAGATAAATATCTTTTATAACACTATTCTTTTCATAATATCATTTAACACCTAAACCTATTGTTACATAATATTCTAAAGATCATTAAAGTGTTTTATTATATTATCCTAAGTTTTAAGATTTCACAAGATATCATCAACATTTTGAAGAATAAACATTTTTAGACACCTATTCATCTTTCCTTAGTATCAAGTAATCCAAAACAACCTCTCCCCTTGTTGCTAGATGGCAAACCTTTTAGCCATTACGGTTAACTATATCCAGCGAGTCATGTGTTCGAGTCTTTGAGAGGTACCTACCACATTTGTGCAATTACATTGGTTCATTAGGTTTGTAGGGTGATTCGTAACCCTGAGGATTAGGCAGACTCTAATGTGGGTCTGAATACCTCAATTACCTAAAAACAAATAATCAATAATCCAAAAGTATTTTACGTATTATCAAAAGTATTAGGGTTTAAAAAATAATACCACGTTTGGTAGATAAATATCTTCTAGACCCCTAAATATTTATTTACCACTTTAACCCCATTGTTACATAATTTTTGTGAACCCCTAAAAGGTCCAATACTATTAAATAACTCCCACAGTTTCGTTTTTAATAAGATTATTCTACACTTGTCCTACGACAGCAGGCACCCTAAAACAACGACTTTGTTCCTTCTTCGTCCCGCATTCATTATTTTCACTTCCTCACTCTCACAAAACTCTCTTCCGGAACCAACTCTTCACTCAAAAACCTGTATAAAATCAAACTCAGATTTTTTTATTTTTTTATTTTTGGTTTTTGAATAATTACAGCTGAATATTTCACTCGGCGTAGCGCAAACTCAGAGAGACACGTCATGAGCCGCTACGACAGCCGCTCGTCGGACTCCAGCTCTTATCGTGACCGTCGAAGGTAACCCTTTTATTCTCTCTCTGTTTGCAACTGTTTTATATGAAGGTTTTCTAGTGATAATGGGTTTTGGTTAGGGTTTTATTTCTAAAAATGTACCCAGGGTGAACAAAATTTGAATGTTGAATTAGCTTCGGTGGATTCGAGTGTTAATTTGTGACCCAGTTGTGGAATTCGGTTAATTTTGTTGAAAGATTAGATTTTAATTGTGATTTGCGCATTAAGGAAATTCTGTATTTCTCTCTTTTTTTCTTCCTTTTACAGCTAGAGTTTGGATGGGTGTGGGAGTGTTTTTGTAATGTTTTTTTCAGTGTTTTTGGTTAAAAATGGATTTTACGAAAGCAGTTGTAAGAGCTTTCCGAGAAAGTATCTAGGCAGTGATTTGGCAAGAAGCAGTTCAAGTACTTTTTTGATTTAAAACATGCTTTTTGGGGAAAGCGCTTCTTGTGCATTTTTAATCATAAAGAACACTAAAGTTGAGCATTACAAAATTGATACATTATGGAGCATAAATTAACTGAAACGAATTTCCTATGTGTGTTATCTTAATTGCCTTCAGCAAAACTCGGAATTGTTGGGAAACAAATCTTGGTTAATATTACAAGAATATTGTCTTTGTTAAACTTCAGATACCTATCTGTTTATGGTTTTTATTTATTGTTTGTGAATGTTGTGTTTTTTTAGTGATTCAGGGTTTGGTGGGTCTTCGGGCTATGGCAGTTCAGTGCGATCCTCATCAAGCAAGAGGGAATATGATAGTGCCGAGCCACCAAGGAAGTTAGATTTGGATGGATTGACTCCTTTTGAGAAGAATTTCTATGTCGAGTCACCGTCAGTGGCTGCAATGTCAGAGAGGGATGTGGAGGAGTATCGAAAACAGAGGGAAATTACAATTGAAGGCCGTGATGTTCCAAAACCTGTCAAGAGTTTCCGTGACGTGGGGTTTCCAGGTACCTTTTGTTTGATGTTGAGAAATTCTTTTTTTTTCTTTTTTTTCTTTTTTTTTACATGTATCTTTTTTTTCTCTTTGTTTATGCAAGAGTTAGGAAGAAGTGCACGGGAGAGTCCTCATTAATAATTGTATCTGCAAATTGTTTATAAAATAAGTGGGAAGTTAAAATTAGCTGGCACGTTTTTTCATGGCATGAGCTGTGATTCTAGTGTTCAGTATGTGATTATTGATCATGGCTTTCTTTACTCTCTTTACTCTATAGGCAAACACGCTAGGTTTATTTATTCATTTGTAAATGCAACACTAATGCATGTGACTGGTACATGTTACACGAGTAGCAGTTCAGATGCACTTTTTCACACCTTTGATGAACAGAATATAGTCGATTCCTTGTTTATGAATTCGAAGTTATGTTTTGGTTGGTAGTAGCTATTAATGGAAAATTTCACTTTTAGTGGTCTTCTTGACATTCCACTAATAAAAGTGTATTTGTGATTTCTGATTGCAACATTATACATGATCTATATTTCATAGTATATAAAAATAAAATGATAACTCCAAGTGCATATAACGATTAAGTTTGAATTTAGTCAATAGTAATAGAAGAAGTTAGTTAGCTTTAATTGTTGAAAAGTTTCTCTGTCGGATAAAAGAATTGTTTTCTTCAAGACTTTTCATTGCAGTGCACCTACTTGACTGCAGATTATGTAATGCAAGAAATTACAAAAGCTGGCTTTGTTGAGCCAACAGCTATACAATCTCAAGGATGGCCCATGGCTTTGAAGGGTCGTGATCTTATTGGAATTGCTGAAACAGGCTCTGGAAAGACAATTGCCTATCTTTTGCCCGCAATTGTCCATGTTAATGCCCAGCCATTTTTAGGTAAATTTGTAATATCTGAGATGTGAAAATACCTCGATATGCTTTTATTTCCTTTCACGTTTTGTTCATTGGGTTGTCATAAATAGGGTTATTTTCTCTATATTTTCAGCTCCAGGAGATGGCCCAATTGTTCTAGTTTTAGCTCCAACACGTGAACTTGCTGTTCAAATACAACAAGAAGCTACTAAATTTGGTGCATCATCACGGATTAAAAGTACCTGTATCTATGGTGGGGTTCCCAAGGGACCTCAAGTGCGTGATCTCCAGAAAGGTAGATGACTTCGTTATTGTATTTATGTTGAAACTTTCTTGCATTATATCCCTTAATGCATTTTAATTAAGTTTAAGATGACATCTTATTAAAATTTCATGCATGAGTTATCGTCTATTGTAGTTCTTACACTTGGTGGGATGGTTGTGGGGTGTTGATACATTATTATATTGATTTTTTGGCTCAGGTGTTGAAATTGTCATCGCTACACCTGGGAGGTTGATTGATATGTTGGAGTCGCACAATACAAATTTGCGAAGGGTAACTTACCTTGTTTTGGATGAGGCTGATCGGATGCTGGACATGGGGTTTGAGCCTCAAATACGGAAGATTGTTTCACAGGTTTTGTCTTTTTCATCCTAAGATTTTCTTCCCTATAATCATCTGTTTAAGTATGTTGTGATGTCTGTCATGGACATATTTTCCAATCTTCTTCATCTATTTTCCCTTGCGCATCCTGTTTTTTGTATGGATATTAATCTGATGTTTCCCTCCGCACAGATCCGCCCAGATCGTCAAACATTATATTGGAGTGCCACTTGGCCTAAGGAGGTTGAGCAACTTGCTAGGCAGTTCCTTTACAACCCTTACAAAGTAAGATACATCACAACTCCAGTAGTATTCAATGGGCTTCTGTTTTTCTGAAACATCTTCTGTTAAAGGGTTTTTCAAATTATATTTTACCATCAATGCACTTTCAATCATGATATACCATCTCTTTTGTTATGGGACTTTTAGTTTTGAGGTATTTAGGCCTTTTCTAAGAGATAATAATCATGTCTATTCTACATGATCTTGTTAAGTAGTGATTATTTTTCACGACTGTTGCTTTTTTGGAATTCCGGCTTAATTGTTGGGGAAGAGCTCTTACTTATTTGTCTTTCCTTTGGTTTACCTCAGGTGATTATTGGTTCACAAGACTTAAAAGCTAACCATGCAATACGCCAACATGTTGACATTGTTTCTGAGAACCAGAAATATAACAAGTATGGTACCCTTGATTTTTGTTCTTATGGGATTTTTCTCCTTTCGTCACTTGTATATCATAGGGGGCTTTTTACATTTTCTGAATGATCTATCGTATATTCCAGATTGGTAAAGTTGCTGGAGGACATCATGGATGGTAGCCGAATACTGATTTTCATGGATACTAAGAAAGGTTGTGACCAAATTACCCGGCAGCTTCGCATGGATGGATGGCCTGCTCTCTCAATTCATGGGGATAAAAGTCAAGCAGAAAGGGATTGGGTCCTCTCAGAGTTTAAAGCTGGGAAGAGTCCAATAATGACTGCAACAGATGTTGCGGCTCGTGGTTTAGGTATGTACCGTGTATGCGTCATTGTGCTACTGTATGGGGGTTCTTTATCTTACTATTGGACGCTTAATTTAACTTGACTATGAAGTTGGGATAACAATCAACATTACTTTGTTGAAAGAAAAACTTACCATCTTCATCTTTTGTGCCATTGTTCAAGCTTTCTTGTATCTTATTGGATGGCCTCCACATATTTCTCAATCAGTCCAGTAAAACTAGGCTTCAATGTTGCTTTGTGTGTGCTCTTGGGTGACCAGCTATAACATCTGCATTCCTTATTGTTCTGGTTTGTGGCAGATGTCAAGGATGTAAAATATGTGATAAATTATGACTTTCCGGGATCTCTTGAGGATTATGTTCATCGCATTGGTCGAACTGGAAGAGCTGGGGCAAAAGGAACAGCTTACACTTTCTTCACAGCTGCAAATGCTAGGTTTGCCAAGGAACTGATTACCATACTCGAAGAGGCTGGACAGAAGGTCAGTCCTGAATTGGCAGCTATGGGTCGTGGTCCACCTCCTCCATCAGGTCAGTTGACAAGTGAATTTTTTGTTACAATGCATGCATAACCAATGGAGGTTAAATTTTTTCAGTGTTTTTGGTCGAACTTGAAGTATAAACCCGACTAGATTGACATTCTGCAGTCATGGCCATTGTTCTGTATAAGTACTCAAATGAGTTTACAGTGCTTTAATATTTGCTTCCTCTGATGATGGCTGGTGCTTTCTCTAGTGGCTCCATTTGAGGGGAAAGATTTTTGGTGTAGAATTATGGATGATTAATCCAATCCATGAATTGGTCACTTTTGACACTTGTGCTATGATGTTTACCTATGATTTCTTAGTTACTAAAATCTTCTTCTTTATGTTCTTTAAGGAAGCAGGACATGGGGGTTTCCGAGACCGTGGTAGAGGTTACAGTGGTGGTCGCTCATGGAACTAATTTATGAAGGGGGACTGTGAGCTTGGTCTCCAATACAAAGAAACGGCGGCCATCTCAACTTGCAGATGAGGGAAAACTTGTATGTTTAGAGGATAGATTTTAGGTGTTATTGTTCTTAATATTTAACTGTTTTCTTTTTTCCCAATTACTGTTTTATTGGTATCACTGCCTTGTAGAATCAGAGGCCATTAGTGTTACTACTAGATTCTGTAATATAAACTGTCAAACTCTCTGTACACAACATTTGCTGAAAGAGCAGTTTTTGTTCATCAAAGAATCTTGACTCTTATAATCAAACTAGTTTCTCAGTTTCTATTTGATTGCCATAAAGATTATTTTCTCTTTATGAACGTATCTGGCATGCATTATAGAAAACAAAAATGATGGTAGTGAGGAGTTGGTTACTTAGTTGAGTGGTCAGGCATATGATTTGTTCACACAAAATTTGAGGTTCAGTTCTGCATTGATAGTTGGTAAGCATCCGACTTATGACAAATTATGCTCATCGATTAGGACTTTCACACTTAGTGTTGCTGTTACAAGAAAGATGGTGCCGTTAATGGGATATTACCATTATTCATCGAGGCGTTAAATTATCGTTACCGTTACTGTTGTCGATATCAAATTGGATCACTTGCCGATAATCCCGAAATCTGTAGAGTCCATCAGAGCTGTTCATTGACCAAGATGGCACATTTGCCACACGATCCTTACTGCATGTCTTCTCTTCATCATCACCCTTGGCAGCTCAGCCTCCTCCGGCGGTGCTACATCCTCCTTCGTACCATAATCATCAATATTTAGGCCCAGTGCAAACCGTAAATAGATGCAAAGCCCATTTAACAATGGGGGTCACACTATTGGGCCTAAAGCCCAAAACCACCCTACTTCTATGGTGTGTACGAGGGTGAGATACATAAGTTGTGAGGTGTAAATTGCTTTCAAGAAAAGCATTTTTAATATTTTCTAGAGAAGCACTTATGGGTTATTACTATTGAAAGCACTTTATTGTAGGGGCTTCTAGTTTGAAGCTCTTGTGATAACCACAAAAGGGGGAGAGGCTTGCAATATTTCAACCCAAAAACATCCTTAACAAAATGGGTGATGATAATAGATAAGGAAAAACAATAGATTGGATACAAAAGCTCAAAACATGAAACAAAAATAAAGATTGTTTTTATCATGTAGGACCAATTATGTCTAGGAGTTTTGGATATGGCTCCCATTAAGGACCTTATTGAATATGTGGCAATCCAATCCCAAAATTAAGATAAAGTGAAACCCATTTCTTTCTATCTATCTATTTGCACTTGGCAAGCTTGTGGGCAATTTTATAATGTGAACCTAACTCAATTTGTTTGTTTTTTTAACTAAGCCACCTTTTTTTTCCATTTATATGTTAAAAAATTAAAGTATGTGTCGTCTCTAATTGGAATTTGGCTACACTTTATACGATCCTCAACAAAATTTAGTATTATTGTATGCTTTAACGTTAAAATAAGAAAGAAAGATAAAAGAGAACAAGTAAGGTTGATTAATACCGGATAGTATTAAGTCGCCTATGACGTCAATTTGTATACAAGATTTGATAAGTAATCAAATAAGTTAATCAACTAGTGTTAATCTGATGTTTCCCTCTGCACAGATTCGCCCAGATCGTCAAACATTATATTGGAGTGCCACTTGGCCTAAGGAGGTTGAGCAACTTGCTAGGCAGTTCCTTTACAACCCTTACAAAGTAAGATACATTGCAACTCCAGTAGTATTCAATGGGCTTCTGTTTTTCCGAAACATCTTCTGTTAAAGGGTTTTTCAAATTATATTTTACATTCAATGCACTTTCAGTCATGATATACCATCTCTTTTGTTATGGGACTTTTAGTTTTGAGGTATTTAGGCCTTTTCTAAGAGATAATGATCATGTCTATTCTACATGATCTTGTTAAGTAGTGATTATTTTTCACGACTGTTGCTTTTTTGGAATTCCGGCTTAATTGTTGGGGAAGAGCTCTTACTTATTTGTCTTTCCTTTGGTTTACCTCAGGTGATTATTGGTTCACAAGACTTAAAAGCTAACCATGCAATACGCCAACATGTTGACATTGTTTCTGAGAACCAGAAATATAACAAGTATGGTACCCTTGATTTTTGTTCTTATGGGATTTTTCTCCTTTCGTCACTTGTATATCATAGGGGGCTTTTTACATTTTCTGAATGATCTATCGTATATTCCAGATTGGTAAAGTTGCTGGAGGACATCATGGATGGTAGCCGAATACTGATTTTCATGGATACTAAGAAAGGTTGTGACCAAATTACCCGGCAGCTTCGCATGGATGGATGGCCTGCTCTCTCAATTCATGGGGATAAAAGTCAAGCAGAAAGGGATTGGGTCCTCTCAGAGTTTAAAGCTGGGAAGAGTCCAATAATGACTGCAACAGATGTTGCGGCTCGTGGTTTAGGTATGTACCGTGTATGCGTCATTGTGCTACTGTATGGGGGTTCTTTATCTTACTATTGGACGCTTAATTTAACTTGACTATGAAGTTGGGATAACAATCAACATTACTTTGTTGAAAGAAAAACTTACCATCTTCATCTTTTGTGCCATTGTTCAAGCTTTCTTGTATCTTATTGGATGGCCTCCACATATTTCTCAATCAGTCCAGTAAAACTAGGCTTCAATGTTGCTTTGTGTGTGCTCTTGGGTGACCAGCTATAACATCTGCATTCCTTATTGTTCTGGTTTGTGGCAGATGTCAAGGATGTAAAATATGTGATAAATTATGACTTTCCGGGATCTCTTGAGGATTATGTTCATCGCATTGGTCGAACTGGAAGAGCTGGGGCAAAAGGAACAGCCTACACTTTCTTCACAGCTGCAAATGCTAGGTTTGCCAAGGAACTGATTACCATACTCGAAGAGGCTGGACAGAAGGTCAGTCCTGAATTGGCAGCTATGGGTCGTGGTCCACCTCCTCCATCAGGTCAGTTGACAAGTGAATTTTTTGTTACAATGCATGCATAACCAATGGAGGTTAAATTTTTTCAGTGTTTTTGGTCGAACTTGAAGTATAAACCCGACTAGATTGACATTCTGCAGTCATGGCCATTGTTCTGTATAAGTACTCAAATGAGTTTACAGTGCTTTAATATTTGCTTCCTGTGATGATGGCTGGTGCTTTCTCTAGTGGCTCCATTTGAGGGGAAAGATTTTTGGTGTAGAATTATGGATGATTAATCCAATCCATGAATTGGTCACTTTTGACACTTGTGCTATGATGTTTACCTATGATTTCTTAGTTACTAAAATCTTCTTCTTTATGTTCTTTACGGAAGCAGGACATGGGGGTTTCCGAGACCGTGGTAGAGGTTACAGTGGTGGTCGCTCATGGAACTAATTTATGAAGGGGGACTGTGAGCTTGGTCTCCAATACAAAGAAACGGCGGCCATCTCAACTTGCAGATGAGGGAAAACTTGTATGTTTAGAGGATAGATTTTAGGTGTTATTGTTCTTAATATTTAACTGTTTTCTTTTTTCCCAATTACTGTTTTATTGGTATCACTGCCTTGTAGAATCAGAGGCCATTAGTGTTACTACTAGATTCTGTAATATAAACTGTCAAACTCTCTGTACACAACATTTGCTGAAAGAGCAGTTTTTGTTCATCAAAGAATCTTGACTCTTATAATCAAACTAGTTTCTCAGTTTCTATTTGATTGCCATAAAGATTATTTTCTCTTTATGAACGTATCTGGCATGCATTATAGAAAACAAAAATGATGGTAGTGAGGAGTTGGTTACTTAGTTGAGTGGTCAGGCATATGATTTGTTTCACACAAAATTTGAGGTTCAGTTCTGCATTGATAGTTGGTAAGCATCCGACTTATGACAAATTATGCTCATCGATTAGGACTTTCACACTTAGTGTTGCTGTTACAAGAAAGATGGTGCCGTTAATGGGATATTACCGTTATTCATCGAGGCGTTAAATTATCGTTACCGTTACTGTTGTCGATATCAAATTGGATCACTTGCCGATAATCCCGAAATCTGTAGAGTCCATCAGAGCTGTTCATTGACCAAGATGGCACATTTGCCACACGATCCTTACTGCATGTCTTCTCTTCATCATCACCCTTGGCAGCTCAGCCTCCTCCGGCGGTGCTACATCCTCCTTCGTACCATAATCATCAATATTTAGGCCCAGTGTAAACCGTAAATAGATGCAAAGCCCATTTAACAATGGGGGTCACACTATTGGGCCTAAAGCCCAAAACCACCCTACTTCTATGGTGTGTACGAGGGTGAGATACATAAGTTGTGAGGTGTAAATTGCTTTCAAGAAAAGCATTTTTAATATTTTCTAGAGAAGCACTTATGGGTTATTACTATTGAAAGCACTTTATTGTAGGGGCTTCTAGTTTGAAGCTCTTGTGATAACCACAAAAGGGGGAGAGGCTTGCAATATTTCAACCCAAAAACATCCTTAACAAAATGGGTGATGATAATAGATAAGGAAAAACAATAGATTGGATACAAAAGCTCAAAACATGAAACAAAAATAAAGATTGTTTTTATCATGTAGGACCAATGATGTCTAGGAGTTTTGGATATGGCTCCCATTAAGGACCTTATTGAATATGTGGCAATCCAATCCCAAAATTAAGATAAAGTGAAACCCATTTCTTTCTATCTATCTATTTGCACTTAGCAAGCTTGTGGGCAATTTTATAATGTGAACCTAACTCAATTTGTTTGTTTTTTTAACTAAGCCACCTTTTTTTTCCATTTATATGTTAAAAAAATTAAGTATGTGTCGTCTCTAATTGGAATTTAGCCACACTTTATACGATCATCAACAAAATTTAGTATTATTGTATGCTTTAATGTTAAAATAAGAAAGAAAGATAAAAGAGAACAAGTAAGGTTGATTAATACCGGATAGTATTAAGTCGCCTATGACGTCAATTTGTATACAAGATTTGATAAGTAATCAAATAAGTTAATCAACTAAGATACCACATTTTTTATTTTTTATTTTTTTTTTTTTTTGGGTAATCAAGATGTCTGAACCAACTTACGTGCGTTCTGAGGGAGACTAACGTAGCAACTCATAAGATAGCACTGTATTACTAACTATAGTGTTGGGAGGAAGAGCATGAACTTGCTAGCTCTTTACAATGGATAAGGTGAGGTGTCATATTCATCCTCCATATGAAGCTTAGCTTGCTCCAATAATGAAATCATTCCATCTCTTGTGATAAGCTCAAGTAATATCAAATCATTCATGTGGGTTAAAAAATTTTTTGAGCAAGATTATGCAAAAATTAATGTACATTATGTCATAAGATCTGTAAAAGCTTAACAGGGTTTAGATTCTACGACGCTCTTAACAATCGTCTTATGATAGTGAAAGGGATGCTCTTTTGAAAGATTGAAAGGTACCTAAGGTAATCTACCATATGAGAGCTTGGACCCATTTGGAATGGTGGTCCAAGAGGAAAAAGGGCAAGGATGGACCCTAAGTTGGCTTCAAAGGGTCACAGAATCTGAAGGATTCAAGTCCTAGCAAGACCCTTTTGCAGGCAATTTTGTACTTGGTGCTACATGGGTTGTGTCCTTAACACAAAGAAGGGAGAGGTGGGTCGGTGAGCCCATGGGGTAGACCCAAAGAGCTCTTGTAACATTGACCTAGGTGCACCCATGTTAAGAACATGGGTTTGGTCCCATCCCAACCAGCACCGGCATTAGGGATTCATTGATGCCAGTTAAATTGGTCTAACAAGTTGAACCTTCTAAACTTGTTTGGGGGCATGTTTTTGTTAATTTATGTGGTAGTGGTAGGTCAACAAATTATGCACCATGGCCTCAATTGTATTGCAAAGTTTAGACAGATTATATCAAGAACACTCGGTAAACTCTCTATTCTCTTTACTACTAATATTTCGAGCACAATCAGATAGATATTGTCTATTTTAGGTCCAAAGCACGTATATTTGTTTTTAGATTTCATACAAGTATTCTTCACTCAACCGTATTTACTAAATCGAGAAAGCGCAAGACCTGTATTATAATTCGATTCGAGCCCTCGTACGGGATGTTAGATTAATAGTAATACAAATCTTTTATTGCCAAAGCTAATAGGGATAATTATACTTGACTCTTTTTAAAGTAATCTAATCACAAATGGTTAGATTAATAATGTACACTAACCACTTTTTAAGATAGTTTTTTTATTATGGGTCAATTTCAATTCTCAAAAGGGGATGAAAGCCATAGTCAAATAATTCGGTTTTGGTGGAAATCCAATGGAGATTGAGTTTAACAGTTTTAAAAGAAGATTGGCTGCAATTTGCAAATGACAGAAATTTGTTTGAGACTTGGAATAAATAAAAGGATTGGTGGAATATCTTAATCATAGATTAAGACACTTTATGCCTTTGGATAAGTAGTCAAAATTTACGGATGTGTCCGTCACTCGTTACAAAGAACTGAATTATTTTTTTCATACACTTTTATAAGATAGATTGATATTAAACCTATTTACAATCAATGTTCCAAAAACCAGACCGGATTATGACCCATGCAAGGGTCTGGTTTCGGTTTGACCGGTTGGCTCGATCGGTTGGACCGTATTCCATAAAATTATTTTTAGTCTTTGAAAGTTTGAAATTCATCAAAAACACCCCTATAATACTCCCTTAAGGTTTGAAATCTATCTAAAACACCCCTGTCGCGCGAAGAGACTGATGAGTGCTGGCGGTAGCAACGATCGACAACCAATCGAAGTTGGAACCATGGGGCTTTTGATGTATAGGTGCCGACGAATTTGATGGTGGTGCTAGGGAGTTCCATCGGCGCCGGAACTCGCCAGAATCAACAAAAGAAATCCGACGGTTGCGAAAACTTTAGGTGGACGGCGAGCGACGAAGGCTGGACGACGGCCACTGAAAATGGATGGGTTTGGTCGTGGAGATGCCATCACATCGAATGGCGGTGTTTTCTCCGTCGAACGATGTCGGAATCCGACGGGATTGAGCTGTGATTGGACCGCGACTCGGCAGTATTCTGGCTATCCAACCGCGGCTCAATCTGGTTTAACGGTAAATGCCAATTTTTATGAGATACCGGACCAGAAATACCGCCGGCTCCCGATCGAACTGATTCGACCGAACGGTCTAGTCCGGTTTTCGAAACATTGTTTACAATAATCGTGATCGTAAGCCTTTTACAAAGGTATATGGAATAAACCCGTAACAAAAATAAATTTATCAATCATCTTAGATTGTGATATGAACTATGAACCAATTTTATAATTGATTGAATTGATATTATTACGATAAGGACAACAAAGGGATGATCATGAAACCCATAACAATCTAAACAAATTCTTGCATGCATTCAAAGAAAGCTTAGAATAGAAGATATAATAGAGAAGAACACTTTGATTTGAAGAAAAAATAATATCCCTAATGGTGACAATTTATAATTTTATAACAACCATTTTAAATTATTAATCTTATATATATATATATATATATATATGTTTGGTATGTAACCACAAGGAAAAGGTCTTAGCCCAATTTATTAATCAAGTAATTAGATAGTGAAAACATTATTAAATTCATAGATTATGGTCATTATATAGCCGTGTAAAACTTGTTTACAATTCAATAATTTCAAGCTTTTTAGGTACTTGTCAATGGAATAAATAATCAATCTCACAAGTTTGGACATTTCTTCTTGTTCTTGGACTCAAATGACAAGAAAAGAAAGTGATTACAGATTTGTTTCTTGACTAAATTAATGGGGATTAAATATGAAATTGGGTATTCCATATTGAAGAGATTATTTTCCACTCATCCGTGGATAGCCCAGATGGAGATAGTTAGAGCGAATTGGGGATAATATGGATGGACGCACGGTCTCAGGTTCGATTTTTATATGTGCATCCGTGATTTAAGTGAGGGTCGTTGTAATAGATTGCTGTACTAATCTCCTCCGAAAATTAATTGAAGTGCACGTAAGTTGGTCCGGACACTTTGATTACAACACAAATAAAGCTTAGACCCCACAAATTCTCTTGAAAAAAGGACCACTATTGCAATGGATAATTTAGAAGATGGATCTCCACAAAAAAGATGAACCCTAAAGATAAAATTATCAACATATTCCAAAATTTTTTAGATAAATTATTTTTAAATTTCAAAAAGTTTTTTTTTTTTCTTTTTTTAAAGAAAACCCCTTTATCACTTAAAAATTGATGAATTTTGATAACTATTTAGTGGATTGGAGGGATAGAGTCTATTAAAATTGGATAATGAAGATGAAAATTGAAAGATGGTGACAAGTGACAACAACGGCTAAGCCAAATATGTGTATGTGGCATACTCATCCACAAAATTAAATAAATAAATAAATAAAATACCTTCTCAAAATTATATCTCTTTTGCTATTACATCAAATTAATTTTGGGCTTATCTTTTTATATGGTCCTACTTTTTCTTTTTCTTTTTTTTTCTTTTTTTTTTTTGCTGATGTGGCATTTGCCTTTTCGCATAGGCTAAAATGGTCCCACTTTCTTTGCTGATGTGTCATGTTTATCCCTTTTTTTAGTCCAATTTAACATGTGGAATAATGAATTTCCCAATTGATAGGGCCATATATGACACAAAATATTATTAAAAATAATAATTTAATTTTCAATTATT